CAGTGATACTGCGCATGAAGTGTGCTATGTCCTTTTATTGTAACAGCTGTAAGTTCAGTTATTTATAAGAACACCTATCCAAGCTTGTGTTTGATGTTGCCATTTGTTTCATTTAGTGAGCTTTCACTGCTCCCTCTCTGCTGTCTTAGTGCTCACTGAAGAGTGTGGGGAGACCGTTGTCTCATACAGAATTGGCATGATTCCTCTATCTGCACTGCCTGCTTATTCATAGTCTTCTTACGACATTTGTTCATAGGAGCATAATATCTTCTGAAGGAATGACAGGATGTTCTTTAACCCTTAAAACAAAAATGACAGATGACGTATTTTGGGATGAGACAATAATGATACTTGGAGAGAGAGCTGATTGCCTGTGTTAACTTGGAGCTGCCTCTTGTGTTCTAACTATGTTATTCTTGACACATTTTATGTGATACAAAGTGAGAAGTATAGAGGAGATGTGCTTTCCAGCAAGTTCCTTTAAGCAAAGGAACCTCCTGGTAGAAGGCACAGGCTTGCAATGCAGCTCTCATTGCCCAGTTCCCAGATTTGGGACTTCACATTGCTGGCATGACTGGTTGAACTGAGCTTCTGGGTCAGGAACACTGGTGGCAATGTGAGAAAGAGCCTGAGCCAGGGGCTAAACAAGTGCTGCCTGTGATGTGGGACTTCACCAGGTGAAAAATAAGTTGTATGATTGCTGACCATCCCTTAAGTCTGAAAGCTTACCGTTCTTCTAAAAACCTCCACTCCTAGATTATACTAATATAAATAAGAATTTTGATTTTTAAGTGCTTTCACAAAACACTTAAAGCTCTTGTATAGGGAACTTTGAAAATGCTACCCCCCCCCTCAGAACTGAGAAGATAAAGCAGGAGTCCCAGTCTTGGGAATATAAGGTACCTGCCCAATAAATTTTGAACGATAATCTCATGTTTAGTGATTGTTTTAAAATCCTATGCAAGTCATCAGAGCTGTCAATAATAACAAGAGAAGAAACAAAAGGAAATTACTTTACACATTAGACCACCAAAAATAACCACTGCCTGCAACTCTTAGCTGAGATACCAGTGACTTAAGAGCGCGTGTCCTTGGTTGGAACTATTAATGAGCTGTTTGTTACCCCCTGCCATTGTAGGGAGAGTACTTGAATGTTTAGAGCATGTGAGATAATCCAGAGATGTGCTGTGCAGAAGTAGTTGCCACTTATCTGCATTCCTCCTAAATAGGCTTCTAAATTCACTACTCTCTTTTCCACACCAAGTAGGGAAGGATCTCGCAGCCTTGGAAGAAATGTACCGGGGGTGAAAGGGGAGAAATAAAAACCCATTAATGCCTATCTAGAGGTATGACCAAGCTGGCAAGGAGCTGGTGGATTTTATGTATGGACATTGGCATGTTCAGTGTTACAGCTGCTGGCTTATGTCTTGAGGAATTTATTACCTTTCATTGTGTTTTGAATGTATGCAACTTTGAAGCCTTTGTTGCTATGCCTTTCACATTTTGGGAAAGGCACTAATTCCAGTCTGGCAAGGAGAACACAGGTTAGGGCAGGGAGCTGGGAGGAAACATTTGGGAGTTTTGCAGTGTTGTTGTTATTATTATTAAATTTGTTTTGTTTTGCCTAATCTGTCAGTACTGGTTTCTCTGTTTCTAATATTGACATGAGCGATCTCATTTTTGGCTCCCTTCTAAAGTGCTGCTGGCCATACTTGCATGTGTGTCTCCAGGAAGCTCTTGGGGGGAACTGGGAGCAGCAAATGTTTCCAGATCCACCTGCTCCCACAGACTGGCCGACGTGGCAGCGACTGCTCTGCTGAAGGATGCACCATGGAAACGCAGTGCTAACTCACAGCAAGGACCTTCCCCACGTGTTACCGAGGGCAACATTTTGCTTTGCTGAGGCTGTGGAGCCAGGTGTGCTATCTGACTGGACTGTGTATCTAAGAGCAGCTCTGGGGCTAAGCTAGGCCTATTAGGACTTCAGTATGTGGTTTGAGTTCAACGTATGTGAGACAGCTAGAATAACTCTGTAGCCCTGATGCAAAAAAGGCACTAAAGCATGTTATGAAATTCAAATGCACACTGTAATTTCTTCAATCTAAACAGCAGCTATTTCTACCTGCATGCAGCAAATCTGTATGCAGATCCTCAACTGATCAAAATCAGCTTTTAAATGGAGTTTCTGGAGTTACACCAACCCAGGTGCTCAGGATTGGTCACACTCACCCTGAGCACACTGAATCCATTCTGCGTAAGGGAACCTGCATTATTAAGTGTATGTTCGCTTGAGTACTTGAATAATGCTGATTAGTTTCACAGTAAGTGAACACTGAATGCTTGTTATTTTAGCCGAATTCCATAATTGCTAGTAAGCGTGGGGATATGTGGAAAAGTCATTTTTCTATATCTAGATCTAATGAGCTTGTACACCTCCTCTGTTTAATTTTAGCAAACTTCTTTAATTATCACTGTATTTTTATCCTCAAATTACTTGTGAAAAGTAATTTGTTCTTGTAAGGCGAAGTAATTGTGCTTTTTTTGGTGTGAATTCTCTCATAATGCTTTTCTTAATGCAACAAAGGCTGGTGTTTCACACTGCAAGCAGTACTTAAGAATCTTGAATGAAAAAGACATTACTGAAATCAGAGTTTTAGGGCAGTTCTGATGTCACTGTTTCTGAACGGAGATGAAACAGTTTAACAAGTATAAGGCATGGGTCACAAGTTTAATTGCTCAGATGCTGCCATTATGGAAGGGGACCTGTGTTGCTCTGAGATTGCAGCAGCAGTGTACCCTGCCTTTGCCCAGGCACGTGAGCTCATATTTCCTCTTTCCTCTCCTGAAGAGGTAATAAACTAGGTTTATTTTTTTCCCTGCCTGTTAAATCTTGTATACCAGAGGAAAACATGCAGCCTTTTGAGGATACTTGGAGTGGAAGAAACTTCCTGTTGGCTTGCACGAAGCCCATGGAGAGGGACAGCATTAAGTGAAAACTTCTGGATATTGGCAACCTCCTCATTTTCAGCACAGCTTTAATCCTAAAGCTGAGCTGAGATTTACTGCAATGTCATCCCATCTTGTAGTTTTCTCCCTGTGTGTTGGAGGGACTTGCATTTATCCAGTGAGTTTAACTCGTTACAGTTTTCCATGCATAGAAGAGCGAGATACTGTTACCAACCTCCTTAGCCTGGATGGCCTATCATTTTAGCCTGTTTCTTTCTGCTTTGCTTGAACTAAGGCATCGTTCTATAACTGAAATGTGACAGAGATAAGAAAGACTGATATTAAGTACATTTGTCTGAATTTTCAGGCTGTGTCAACTGTGACTATTGTGGCTTACTTACTGCTAATATGCGATGGTAGAAACAAAAGGCAGATACTGTATGGGCAGGCAAAGTTGGAAAACAGTCCTTTAAGTTGGTGCCAGCTTTTGTTGTTGGCTGGTTTTAGATTGCACCCCGACTTCACTCTGTGTTTTACTAGGATCATCTTGGACCAACTTGTCTGCATCCTGCTGAGCCTTGGCCAACCCATGATATACATCTTATATGGCTAATTTAATGAAGAATGTATTTAAATAATTAAGTGTTGGCGGCTGTTGCTAGAGTGGCATTCTGGAGATCCCAGATATTGGCTGGTTTTACAGACGGATCTGTTACTATATTTGCTTGTTAAATTTTTTTTCCTCTCCTTTTGAGAATCTGTCCAACATGCTCATTATACTCTGGTTGGTATGAAACAAATGCTAGTTAAGAATGGGGATGCTTGAGGCAAGAGAGCAAATTCAACTCCCTGAAGGCAATTTCCACCTTCTACAATGTCCCACTGCTGTCTCCAGCTCATGTAACTGGAAAACAAGTATCTCCAACTCATTTATTTTATGATTTCTCTTAGCAATTTTCTCCTCTACTTCACGGATTAGGGTCTTTGTTTATGCAGGTTTTCTCAGTTTCAGACACCTATTTCTATTTGTGTCATGGAAGCCATTAATTGGCTGGAGTTATACTTTATTACACTCTCTTTAGTGCTAACTTTTGGGAGGGTGGAAGATTGTAACACAAAATTAAAGGCTTTGTAATTCAACCTAAGACGTTTAGGGAATTGAGGGATTCTTGCCAAACATGGACTTGTTTTGTAGAAATGCCACTCTCTGACTGATCAACCAACACTTCTGGTGTCACATCAAAACCTGTTTGTTTGCTGCAAGTAGCAGGTCCCCACAGAAGTGGCCACTGGGTTCAAATACTTCCCGCAATTGTCCTCCACAGACTGTCGTGACCATGAAAATTGATTTATTTTTTTTTTTCCCCTCTGGTCTCCATCTGGTGGTTTTTCTTATGGGTTGGTAATTTCACTGCCTTTTGTCCTAGGAGGATTAAAGCTTCTAATGTGAAGGTTTTACTTAGTGGAGTCTGATCCTGAAAATATCAGTGGCACTGCAGGACTGGACATGATTGGTGCGGAAGTTAATGTGCATTTTCACAAGTCTCACTTTTCTGTATTGTAGCATCTTTCACACTGACTTTGATCTGAGCAACAGATTGCCTTGAAATCTAGCAACAGTCTAAGTTGAGGATTTTAGCTTAAAGCTTTTAGTATCACTGAGATTTTTTTAATTTATTTTTTTTCTTAAAGGTGCTGCACATTTTTTGTATTAGAAGGTAGTCAGGTTTGCACATTGCCATGTAGACTCTTAGGCTTTAATCAGTATCTTGTGATTTAATATTGAGGATTAATCTTAAAGTCTGAAAGGAGTACCTATGTTGGGTGAAAATACTCTTTTAATTTTTGATCATTGTTATCAGCAAAAAAATGTAGCTGGTGGTTGACATAAATCCATTTGGGTTTCAAAACTAAATTATTTAAAGAAACTGTGACTATTACCATGACTTTTGTGATGGATGTTCAACATCGTGACCAGTGCTGAGCAGACACGGAACATAACATAACCATTCTGCTTTTCGTTTTACAGGCGGAAACAAAATCCAGAAGTGAAAAAAGCAAGTCCTTCCACCACAATGAGCTCTGGTAAGTCTGTGTTGTTTTCCACTTTCCCTCTTTGGCATTCCTTTTTAATACTAGAAATATTTCTGTTTCTGATGCAATTACTCTGTTTTTTTATTTTTTTTTTTTAAACTTGTCTTCTGCCTCCCATGAAAAGAGTCAAAGCCCTTGAAAGCTCAGGGAATCTGACTATTAAGGCAACAGCAAAATGGCTTTGTAGTAAAACGTGTCTTGGCTTCATTTTTTTGTTTGTTTGTTTCAATTTGGCCCATAATGCTCAAAAAATGACTAGAAACATCTTGAGCTGGAGTAGGTCACTTTAGCTTCTTTCACTTTGGAATACAAAAATTCAAAATCACTAATTATCTGAAAGAAATGGATATGTTTTAGTATGGGTGAATGTAAAGTTTGACATCTGGATAGGAAAAATCAGCTGCTCAAAGAAAAATGAGGGACCAGGAAATGGGGACTGGCTAGGAAAAAGAAAACTTCCAGACTTGTCTGGGTAACAGGCTAAATCAAAGTGAAAAACAAAGCAGACACCATAAGTGCCATATATAGGTTCTGTGGAATAACATTCCCACTTGATTTTGACACCTTATCAAGTCTCAGCTGGAGTATCGTCTTCAGTTTTTAGCACCACATTTTGAGAAAAATGTGAATCATTTGGAGAGAGTCCAGAGGAGAGCTGGGAGACTAATCAGGGTCTGAAAAACATGACCTGGGAATTTGGCTTAAGCATCAATAAGCTTCCAGGTTGTGAAGCACTGGAGCAGGTTGCTTTAGAGTGATGCTGGAAGTTTGTAAGAACTTGTTAGACAACCGTTTGTCAGCAGTGACAGAAAGTATATTATCTTCTGCTGTGGGTCAGGAGTATGGCTTTAGATTGACCCTTGGAGGTCCTTTTTAGCACTGTCTTCTGTATTTCTCTGAATTCACAAGAGCCAGTTTTACTCATGTCAGCTGAGGACATTGCAGACTTGAAAAAATTTCTATTGAAAATCTCACCACTGAGCTGGATGCCATATACACATTCAGAGACAGTCCCTGTTTAAAAGAGGCTGTGATCTGGTTAGGCAAAGGGAAAAGAGAAACAGCAGTGTCCTCTGAGGGAGATTTGTGTCTCCAAGCAACATCTCCTGAGGTAGCAGGAATACTTCCTAGTTCATGAATCAAGTAGTGCTGGCCCATGGCATCCCCCTATAGTCAGAGGTTACATTCAGTTGCAGAGGTTTTAACCCAGAAATAATTTGCTTCTTCCTTTGTCTTATAGAACACGAAGAAGTTGATGTTGCAAAAACTGTTGTCAATGGGCTGAGCAGCAATGGACAAGAAAAAGGTGGGTTAAGTGCTCCAGAGACATCTCTGCAGCTCCCCCTGCATGTCAGCTGCCTGATGTGTTTGATTTCCCCGGACGTGCACTGCAGCAGGGGTTTCCAAATTTAGTTTGCTTGGCGACTAAAACAAGAAAAGCCTTGTGCTGCACCGTGCCAGCACCAGTAGCATTTCTTAGCTCAACAAGTGTTCTTTGTCTGTGAAAGGCAGCAGACTGGATTTGCTTCTGTGTATCGTTTTAGTGCTGCTTTGAGGAAAGGTGCGCACTACTTGGGGTACTTGCGAGCACCTGTGAATCAGTATCTTGGTATGTTTAGACAGGATGGGTTTGTGGGTGCCAGTGTATGAATCCTGATAAATTTCAGTGGAAGATGGAGGCTTGTGACCAGGATTTAAGGGCAGGAACTAGCTATTTAAGTAATTAAAAAAATTTTTGTTAGCAACAACGATTTTAAACCCGAACTTACCTAAATGAACCAGTTTTCATGTTAACATCAGCATTCAATTTTATATAGTGATGGTGTGTGTTTCGGCAGGGTGAAAGTATGTGGTTGTATGGGTTGGTTTTCTGCTGGTTTCATTTCCTTTCTTTTCCTTTGATGATTTTTTGTAGTGGTTAGTATTTTGACTGCATTGTGGATGAATGAATTCAGTCAGTTACAGAGCAGAACAGAATTAGGGTTGTTTCCTAAACCACAGGCTGTTTGCATTTGGGATCTGTTATATTTACAGGGTTTCTGGTGCTCAGGAAGAAACATGGAGAACAGAGTTTGATTTGCCTTCCTCTTCCATTTTTTTTTTTTTTAAAAAAAAGAGTTTTAAACAATCCCATCAAATTAAAAACTAATAATTTTATGATGTTTTAAAAAAATTCTATCAAGCTCTTTTCCCGTCCTTTTGCTTGAGAGGCCTTTTCCCAGGTTGGTGAAGTCTGTGGACTTTCCAGTTTTGCCAAAGATCAGAAAGTTCTGCCACAAGAGGGGGTGTACCCATCACCCTGATGTGAGCGCCTCCCTCAAGCTGGCCCATCGCTCCCTATCGGTGTGTAAAGTATCAGAAATGTGGTTCCTCTTATTCTTAATTTTGCAGGCCTGAGAGAGCTGGCACGGAATGTGAGGAAGCATCTAACATTTCCCAGTTAATATGTGCAAAAAGCTAAAATGTTTTAGAGGAGAAAATCCAGGCTCTGCAGAAATCAAGAGCATTATTCGTTATTCTGATGGAGCCATGATTTACAAGATATTCATCTTTGCAGATCCTGTTGAACTTCACCTCTAGTAGTTCTGAGTAGTTCTGGCTTTGCCTTTTTTTACCACCACTACTCCCACAGCCTCTTATTTTTATTTTTTTTTAAAGAGAGTTCCTCATTAGCTGCAATACAGAGTCAGAGGGAGGAAGTCCCAGCTGATTTGGACGTTTTTTTAACAATTGCTACAATTTTGCACAGTGCTATGTATGATTTTCCCCGGTGTTACCACATCTAGTATGTTCAGTTTGCTAGCTGATGGAGTCCAGTAGAAACCTCTTCAATTTACTGTTTACATTCCCTTTGGCATGGTGGCATGGGACTATTTTCATGATTTTTTCATGTTTCACTTCCTTCTGTTGCTGAACTTGTAAAATATGTGCCATAAAATCCAGAATTTGTGTAATGTGGCTGGTTTAATGTTCCTCCCTCCACCTTTCAATCCTTGTTTTTCCCCTTCATTTTGCTTTAACTGAGCCATATTAATTTTAACTTTTTAATTTTTGCTTGTGGTGTATCTCAGCTAAATGATTGCACTAAAATTTTTTGGTGGCTTCTAAAAACTAATACTTCCAGATTCTTTTCACCTGCAGCATAGTGGCAGTTAGCAGTTAGGCAATTCATTAAGCAGTTCTGTATGCTGCATGGAACAGACACATCCTGAATTAGGGTGAACGAAGGGATATTTTTAACGTTGCATCACTGTTCTCTGGACTGCTTTTGTATTTGAAATTTCCTGCTATTGTGTCTCCAAGTACATTAGAAAATTTTGTGGCATGCTTCCCAAACTCTATTCTTCCCTTTTTGGATGTGCCATTTACACTTTTGTGTTTGCAGCTGTTGACGTCCCTTTATGTACACGCTCTATTTCTGCCGTTAAAATAATCCCTGTGAAGAAAGTGAAAAGTTCTCCTCACCTAGTGCTGCCTACAGGTATCTTCTTCCTTCTTCCCCCTGCCATGCATTAGTTGGCTATCATTTGCTCTTTTCTGTCTCGCTCCCCGCTCCCCCCACCGCCTTCTCTCTGCTTCACCCATGCACTTTGGCTAGTTTTTGGCTTCATCCTCTTCCCACTGTTTCCAGAGCTGTAGATTTCATCAGTAGGTAATAAAGTTAGCTCTTGGTGGCACAATACACTCTTCTCAATTATGCTGCTCCTCTGGCAGCATAATTGGGTCTACTTGAATCTGGGATCATTTTAAGCTCTTCTACTAATGTTTGATTATGAGTAATGTTGTTATAACAGCCTCATTTTGAACCAAAATCATGATGAACTAAAGAACGTTTCCTCTGTATCTGTAGTCCTTACAAAAGTAAATAGATGTTGAAGATGGTATTTTACAGGTTCAAGCATAGTTCAACATTGGTGTGATGGTTTTGGTTTTCTGTACATACACTGACTTCACAAAATCTTTATATAGATAAATAAGGATGTTCATCTGTCTGTCACACCCTCCCTGAGCACATGTTTCTCAATAGAAGTACAAGATTATTTCTGTACTTTGCTGGATTTGGACAGTCAGTCTAGTCTAGCTGATACTACTTGTCTCTCCTAATCTGCCACACATGTGCTCTGTTGGGTGAGTACAGTGCTAATGTCATGTTTATTACTATCTGCTGGAGGTGGAGTAATTCTATGTCTTCCTCTCCCAAAGTGAAGGAGTTTGAAAATACTTTGTTTTCACGCCTTTTCAAAACATTTTTTTTCACTCTTTTGATTCAGTATACATGTTTAATATGTTGTATGAAGATTAAGTGCTTTGATTCCCAAATTTGATTCTCCTCCAGTATGACGGAGACATTTATGGGATGTTGAACTCTGTTTCCCTTTCTCTCCAGTATCTGTGAATGAATCTAGGCGTAGGAGTGTAGAACGGCTAAGCTGCGCTCTTTGTGGATGTCTAAATCAGGTCTGGTGACTCCCAACAGCATGGCCATGCCTCAGAGTTACAGCAGTCTCAAAACCAGAGTTCCAAAGCTTAAACCTTTGTCCTCTGGTTTGAAAGTAGGTCTGCAAGGCCTGGGACTCCGTGTCTGTGTGGGCTGCAGAAAGCGGACTGCATGTTGTGCTCTGTAGATGGGAACATTAGGCAGTACTGTACTCCTGGGCAAAAGGAATCCTGACCCTATCTGGATCAAGTGATGAAAATCAGTCAGGGAAGTCAACTTCTATTTCACCAGGTGTGTGGGCGACCTTAGGCATGATCAGTTGTGTGATGTGAGTGCAAATGTGGTATATTTAAGGCAGCATTTGATATGTCTGTGTGGATAATCTTTCCCCTCACAGAGGCTGCCTCAGTGCTGCCTAAATTAGCTAAGGCTGAACTGTCGAAAAGTATCCTCCTGTTCCTTACATATTCCATCCTTCCTCCAGTCCTAAGTGTGGATCTGAAGTTATGCTCTTTGTGAAATCCCTGAAGATTGAAGTGTGGTGATTCCAACATAGAGGGCTTTCGATGTGAGCCAGGTGTTGGACATTTGCTGAGTCTTTCCCCTTACTGCTGTTGTCCATCTGGCACTATTGATGTTTCCCTGTATTGTGGTCACCTTGGCTGTGGTCTGGTGTTTTGCAGCCTCAGCCAAGGCATTGTCATGGTCTGTAGGCACTGTACTGGTGTGATTAATGGGACATTATCTTACTGAAATCACCCAGGGAATATTGATCTGCACAAATGTGGGTTGTTGTCTGGGCAATAAGCAGCAGCCTTCACCCCTGCTGTTCAGTCTGAAGGCACAACTTTCATTATAATAGCAGTTCTTAGTGAGGAGCTGCATCCCTCCCTATGCAGAGATAGCATGGTCCTCACTCCATGCAAATAAAATTTGTTGTGTTGTCATTCATGAAATCCAGCACATGCTCAGTACCTCTTCAGGCTTCCTGTACGGTGTCATGGTAGGACTAAAACCTCTGTTTATGTAGGTCAAAGTAAAGTCTGATGGCAGCTGCAGGGTCAGTAAATAGTGCACGAGAAAGGCCGGTGATGTGTGTTCCTGTGGAAGTAGCTCAGATGACTGAGAGTCTTTAGGCTTATTGTTTCCATAGGTATCTTAGAGCAAACAACTCTCCGGAAGGATTTTAAGTAAGGGGAGGAAGATTGCCTTGAAGTAGTGGTTTGTTATTACTTCATAGGATGACAGGAGGGAAAAAGAAAAAATCATGGACTGAAATGCACAAAGGTAAGCCTGCACAGAAGCTGTGCTGAATTGAGCCTCAGCAAGGACACTTGCATAATCTGCTATCTGGCACACAGGGTGATCTGGACATGTATATGTTAAACCTTCTAGTTTTTGGAATTTGGGTTCTGTATCAGAAGATGAAACACTGCCATGAAACAGGAGGAGATGGCAGGTAGGTGGCTTGCAGTGCCCTGCCTTTAGGTCATTTTCAGTGTAGTTACAGGACTTTATCTTCCAGTGGTCATGAGACTTTTTTTTTTTTCTCTTTCAGTCCTGCACAAAGACATTTTTAAGGCTTCAGCACACAGATGATATGGCTTTATGCCACAGGTGTAATGGCAGAATGTCCTTGCCAGTACAATATCTCCACGCAAAGCAGACCAAATAAAGCAAATGGACTTGTGAAATTTGGTTCAGACATTCATCCTTTTTCCTTCTTCCTTAGTTCTGTTACACTGATTCAGAACTTACTTCTATATTCTTCAGTTACATGAATATGAAACTGCTTTGATTTCTCAATGCTTTAAATCCAGAGCTAATCTTCATCTGCATAAACATTACTAGATTGATTCACCCAGAGGCAACCATGCTAAAATTACTCCGTAGAGCTCTGATGGCTCCTAATAGCTTTGTATCATCTGTTTCAATGTTTCTTCTCTGTGCATGTGCATTTCCTGTAGAAAAAGATCCCACTAAAGTCTGCAGTGGAAAAGGAGCTGTGACCCTCCGGGCATCTCCAGCCTATGAAGAGAATCAGACTACCGCTTCGCCATGTCCTCAGGATGTTGAGCGACCTGAAAGTAAGTGGGTGGAAGGTTAACTGCAGTATGTTACAATAACCTCGGAAAGGTCAGTCTGGGATCTTGGGGTGACTTTTTTTAGCTTTGATTTAAAGCTCCAAACCCTGTAGCATAGTTGGAAACCTTTCGCAAAAACCAGATTGGTGAAGGGAGACTGCCTCCTGTTCTCTCCTAGTGCGGGTTTTGTGACCGCTCATTGGCTTAAGTTTATTTACATCTCTTTTGCTGTCAGGAGCACCATAACCTCTCAAATTTTTATTTTTAATTTTTTTTTCCTGGCAAGCCCAAGTCATCTCCTTTGTATCCCAGGCGTGAGGTGAAGCAGAAAGAGGCTGAGTGGTGCTACTGCCACGGTATCATTCACTTGGGTTGTCAAGGGAGTGGGGATAGTGTCCCAGACAGACAGCGTTGCCACAGAGCTCTGCCATCTTTCAGTAGCAGACGTGTAATTACTTAATTGTGGGAGACAGGCAAAGCATAACAAACCTGGCCAGAGTCGTGGGTCTGGAAGAGAGGGTGAACTCCCAAAGGCAGGGGGAGGGGAGTGGGGGTCATACTTGCTCTTGAAAGCAAAATGTACATGGTTTCTCGCTGTATTGTTGGAGAAAGGGCAATTCCATTAATTCCAGCCTAAATGTGCTGCTTTCTGCTCTGTCTTCTCCTCCCATTCTGCTTCACCCGTGACCTACGCTCTTTTCATGCTTGCCATTCTCTGTTTCTTCACTCCTACCCCCTACCATTGCTTCTCTCCTTTCTGTTGATGGCTTCATAAATTTCCAGCAACTTGAATGGCAATGATCCCATTACTATGGAAATCAGCTCATTAATACTTCCTTTGCTTACTCTCTCAATCTCTTTATGAAATGTACTTAGGAGCTGGAAGCGCTTTTTGCATAGAACTTAAACAGCAAAACGAGTAGAGGGTTGGGGAGGAGCCTAGTGGGAGGTGGGTAAATATACGATGAGACTAGTGCTTCTAGCTGCAGGGACTGGGTTGTAAAGTGACATGTTTTATAACTCTCTCATGCACATGCATTTAGTCTGCAAAACCTGATCTATTTGTTGGCAGTCCTTTATCTCAGTTAATCATATATAGTGATATTGATAAGGATAAATGTCTTCATAGCCCGTATCATGGCTGAATGCAGGGTCCCTGCATTTCCAGTAATTTGTCGTGTCTGAATGTGGAGATGCAGCTTTAGAAAGTAGCTAGCTGGGCTGCCTTTTTGCCTCTGAAATGAGAATGTCAATGAACAATTGTTTCTTCATTGCTCTGAATGAATTGCCTTGTGTTTACAAAGGTCAGAAACAAGGAGGGCATCATGTTTAGGGCTGGTCTCTATGGTAATTAGGCAGCCCTATCAGAAAGCATTTTATGTGTGAAATGAAGTAGCTTGACTCTTAACTTCAGTTGGTGCATGTTTTCTGTAAATGTAATGGTTTATTTTTTTCCCCTTTCTTTTCCTTTATGTCTATCCTCTACCCTCATCTCTTACATCCCTCTTTTCTGTGAAACGCTTAGGTCTGGAGCTGGAAAACCCAGAAACAGGTACAGACATTGACTGCTTATGTTGTTGCTTCTGTTGCTTTCTTGGAAGTATATCTTGTTGCCTGGGGAAAAAAAAAAAAGGGGGGGAAAAAAAAGGGAAGAAGAGAATCCTCTCCTTTTGCTCGTCCTGTAGCTGGAGGGAATCCTCTGTGATCTGAGTTTCCCTTCCACTCGTAGACGATTGGAAGTCATCGTCTAACACTGATGCCAATGGGGATGCCCAACCATCTTCTCTGGTTGCCAAGGGTTATAGGAGTGTGCGTCTGAACCTTTCCTCAGACAGCAAGCCACAGGTAAGCCTTTCTTCTGTGACCCTGAGGGTGATCATCTGGGTTCAAGCACTGGATTCGTGGTCAGGAGTCTTGAGTTGAACTCCAAACTTTGCTGCAGACTTGGGTAAGTTGCTGTGCCTCAGCTTTTAACTACTTTTAAAATGGGGGCAACACTGATGTCAGCAGGGTGCTATGGAGCTTATGTGTTCAGGCACGCCTTGGTGAATGAAATAGCAGCACAACAATATTTATTTGCAGGAATAAAGGTCATCTTTTGCTATTTTGTCTTTCATGTTGGTCTATTTCGTAGGGGTTGCTGCAGGCTGAAAGCAGTTAGACCCTAAGTTAAAAACAAGATACTGAGGAAATGCCTTTCAGTTTTAACACTGTAACTGATATAAGCCAACAAAGGAAAAATTGTTTGTACATGAAGATAAATTGTTGAGGTCAATCTGCTAAGAGAAGTATAACTTCATCCTTTTTATTTTGGGTGATTTATCTACACAGAAGCAGTCTGAAAGCTGGTAAGGAAACCTTTCTCTAGAAACCACTTTATGTGAAACAGAGTTCTTTTAAAGCCTTGTCCCCTATCAGAGTCACTGTTCCCATCATCAGGGACCTATAGCAGTGCCACAGAAGAGACACCATTCCTGAAATTTTAAGTGAAAGTGGAAGAAGGCACGACTCAGATGATGCATGGGAAGATGTGACACCCTAAGGAAGATATTACCCAATACTTACAGCTGTCCTGTGGTCCCATATTGATTGTGTTGATGAACAGAAAGAGCACTGATGCACATAGTACTTCTTAGAGAAGTCTCAAGCCATCCAAACTAGGCTGAAATGGAAGAAAATGGAAAACAGCAGTTGCAGGTGGTCAATTAGTATTTGCTGATAGTACTATGTAGTGGGAAAGCGAGGCTTTGCCTAACCTAGGGAAATACTGTTACACTCTGAAGTCTCTGTACTGAAACTACTCTTCTTAAGGAATCAAAAGTGAGCCTCTTCCAGAAGCAGAAACCCTTTAGAAGTAGCTAGAAGTAGCACTTATCAAGCCACTTCTCCACTCCCTTACACATTAGGAAAGGGGAGGAAAAGATGAGCAGCATGAGGATGGTAGAATTTGGGACAGCAGCTGTAATTTTGTGAAACTATTCGAGGTCTATATCCATGTAATGAAAGTAGGCCCTGTCATATGTGGCTGTGTGTTAAAAGAGGTGGGTTTTTTTGAGAATTGAATGTTGAAAGCTGTTAAGATATTTTAATTCTCTGGGTTTGGCCATTTTAGCAGTGGCTTACCCAGCTTTTTCCCATAAAGATATGACAACATGTGTGTGTAAAACCTACTTTCATAGTCTCCAGAGGGTTAATTTACAAGAACGCAGGGAGTCTACTGTTCAGTAGGTGGGTGTTTTAATTCTCTTCCTTTCAGTAGTTTAGAGTTTTCAGCTGCTGACAGCAAAGCTATAAATAAAATGAAACTTCTCTATTGCTAAGTTATTTTACTTCAAAACAGTTTGTCTTTCAGAAAAAAATTCTCTGTGATTGGAGCTGGAGTCTCAGTCAGAAAGCAATTGTGGACTTAGCAACCTACGTATTGCAAAGTACCAAAAGAGTAAAGCTTTGGGGTTTTATTATTTACTAGAAGCCAGATTTATATGTTGATGTTTGGAGGCAAATTCTTATGAACTCAGTTTCTCAAGAAACTGTAATTGTTCTAGTCTTCCTGAAGTGTTTTGACAACTGAAAAATCCTGAAGAGAATTCAAGAGCTATCTTTTAGAAGGAAGAAATGCTGGCTTCTTTCTCAGCCAGCTGTGAGAGTCTATAGTATTCACATGATGTCTGCTTTCATTAGCAGCGGTGAGACTTCGCAATGTTCATTTTTTGGCAGTGCACTTAACATGCAGAGATAGCCTAGAGCTCTGAATTTGACTTTGCAATTCAATTGTCCCCAGTACTGGGAAGTATTTAGTTGCACAGGCATGAGCCTGGGTTTAGTTAGCCAGGATGTTAAATCTTGACCCAGGCCTTCCCAGGGGCATGGTGGGTGTTGCTGTGCAGGCCTCTTGAAACAGTGCGGCACTGAGGTTTACTTTGCCCGGAGAGAGAAATATGTAGGCAGGGACTTGAGAGCTAGGTAGGGTCTGTGTGCTGCAGTGATAAAGAGAGAGAACGTGTGAGATGTATGCAAGTTCTGCACTGGCCTTCCAGATACTGTGTTTTCTTTTTGTTCTTGCTGTGTTAAAACCTGCTTAACCCAAGTCTAATGACTGAATTCATTCTTCAAATTTATTTTTTTCCTTCCTTTTCCCCTTCATTTGGTGCTGCTTCCTTTCTCCCTCTCTTCTTGACTCCACCTGGGCAGGCCCTTGCTCCTCCCCGTCCTCCCCTTCCCAAAGAGGAAAGCTTTGCATGGCGTCCTCGCACTGACACTAAAGTGACCAACCTGTTGCCAGTGCCCATCATGGACTGTGTGTACCTGAATGCACCCAAGCCTTATACACAGCGTGCATCACCAAATGCCAGTGCACGGTGTTATTTCTCATCACCTACCCCCTATGGGGCTGTTCCCAGTGGGAAGCAAGGCTTGCCAACAGGGTATCCTCCCTCTTCAGGTGCCAAAGACGAGGTGCATGCTGGGCAGCCACTCCTGGAAAGTTGCTCTTTGTCAGATGCATCATCCATCCAACGCAACCCTGACGGGGCAGATCCCAGTAGTAAGGCTGGAATGAATTCCAGTCATGAGACGAAGGCGGATAAAAAGGTCACCAAACTATATGTAGCTTGTTTATCTAACAGCACTTGCTCAGCCGCATCTGAAAATTCCACTGGCACCACACATGACCCAGCAGCCAGCACCAGTTTGGGCGCTGAGCTCACTCAGGCACCAGCCACCAACATTGTTTCCTCTGTAACAGATACTGGACAGTCTCTTCCTGCTCCTCCTCCTCCTCCTATTCCTCCCAGGCCGTACTTTTACATTGTCCTCAGTAAAGACGCAGTTAGTTATGATGCGGGCCAGCCCTCCTGGACTCAGTCATCACCTCCGCAAGCTGTGAGGGACAAAGTGCTAGAGCCCCAGAGCACAGCTGCCACAGAGGACAGGATGAGAAAAGAGCCTTACCTTACTCAGCAGCGACAGCCACCATACAAGGCAATGGGACGCAGCATGGTACATGTTTTCTCCATAACCTTGTTTTCTTTCAGCTGTGTGAACGGTTCTTTAATTCATTATGAAGTTCCCTTAATGCTTTATTCCCCTCCTGCCTAATGTCTGAGCACTCATTGTGCCACCTGATTCTTGTGGTCTTCTACTTGATAATACTTAACACCCCAACATTGATCTCTGTGTGTGTGTGTTTGTGTGTGTGTTGATGTTTGTAGGGGGCTGGACTGGGATGACAAGGATCTTTCTATTTTAGGGAAGCAAACTAATGTGATGGCTAGTGCTTCTTGAGTGATGGTGAATGCAGAGCTGTTCTGTGGTTTGATTTAGCCTTGCAGCACAGAACTGGAGAAGAGGGGTGGTGAGGGGAAGGAAGATTGTTGTGAAAAACCGTGCGTGATCATAGAGGCTAGGGCTGCAGGACCGAAGAAGCATGTCTCCCTAAAGAAGGAAAATCTGTTGGGGCCTCATACAACTTTGGGTGCATCTTTGCAGTACGCTATATGGCTGCATTAAACTAAAGTACTAAATTAGACTAAAGACAATCTCCCCTGTTGCATAACAACACCTTGTTTCCTACAGGATGCCACTGCCACCACCACAGCTCAGCCTGGGGTTATAGTAGTCCCCCTCCTCCAGGTTAATCCAGACAGACAGCACGAAGGCAGCTCCAGCACTCCACCACCGCCTCTGGTTCCTTTCGGGCAAGGCTCCGTATTCCCTGAGACTGTTTCTCCTGGCTCACCCTTGACTTTTCCGACTCTAGATGATTTCATTCCCCCACATCTCCAGAGGGGTTCCCACCATAATCAAGCACCCTCTGCATCTGGCACATTACCCTCTGTTTACCCGAAACTGCCATTCTTCTCATCACCACCTTCACTTGTCCCTCCAGTCACAGGGGCTTTGCACAGGGGCTTGAAGCCTGAGATCACTGGAGTCATCTCACATACAGTAAGCTTGCCAAGTACCCTCCTCGCCCTTTTCCTAAATTTGTATTCCCAGATTAAAATTACTTTCTCCTTGCAATACTAAACTTGAGAGAGCAGTGATGACTCACTCCCTGCCAGCAGCATGACAGCTGAAACCTTGTTTACGTCCTGTGGTAGTGCATGCCTGTTGCCTGCCTTGTACAGCTTTGAACTTTCTATTGACTTCTCGCAATAATATTTGACTCTCTTCCTTTGTGCCCATCCTGCTAGGTGATGCACACGTTAAGAGCCTTCATGGGATTTGCTCAGAATAATGAGTGCTGTATGGACAGAATAGCTGCAACTATCTCATCTCTTTGGGCTCTTTTAATAGCATCCTTAATTGTGTTTGAGTAATACTTAAAGCAGCAACAGCAGAGGAGTTAAAGGTTAGGGCTGACTTTCTGTTCCACGTGGAGGCACAAGAGTATAAGGTCTCTACCCAAATCCCTGTTGATAGCAGTGTGAGATTGCTGCCAGTATCCAATGACCTACAAGCAGAAATATCAGTTACTGAGCTAAGAGTCTTCTGGACATGTAGGTGCTTTGGGATAGATTAAGGGGAGTGCCTTTTCAGTGTGGAATTGCTTGTCTTTGAGAATGTTGAAGAATTTAATTGCCAACAGTTTTAACTTGGAATTTACTGTGTACTTCTTGGATTAGGTTCATCACCTGTTTTAGAAAGTCCTCAGGAACAAGAAGGAAAAGTAGCTCTCGATTAATGTTGCAGAGGAGGCAAAAAGTACCTGACCCTCCTTGTACTGGAAGGCTTACAAATAAAATTTATTTATTTTTATATGGTTGCTTGTAAGGACAAGTAACAAATTCAACAGAAACCTCTCCTCTCATGATGATGCTTTCTCTACATTCTGACTCTATAGGGATCCAGCAAACAGGCATATGGAGGGGAAAAAAAAGAAAAAAGTGACCAAAGATGATATTTTCAAAAGTTCTCAGCATTGGTCTTTCTGCTTCTGTTGAAATCAGTGTGGATTTTGGGTTTTTTTCACTGCAGAGAGAGGGGTTGTGGTTTTTTTAGAATGGAGCCTGTCTGCAGGGTCCAGAAAAATTCATCAAGCACCTAAACCCTAGATGAGTTGTGGAAATTATGTTGTACCTGATTTTCCTCCTTTTTTTTTTTTTTTTGAAACAGTTTTGGGCATGCTCACTTCAGGCATGTAATCACAGTTGTTTTCCACAATGATTTAAATTGTCTTTGTTCACCCACTTTGGTAACTTAGCTGGGGCTGCTGAGCCTATCCTGATCTGACATCCCTCTTTGAGGCATTCTTTATATCTTAGTTATCAAAGTGAAGCTCAAACCCAACTCTCATACTTCTCCCTGACTCCTACTTCTTTTCCCAAATTGCATTTTTTGAAATATTATCACAGCAAGCAAAATGGGACCGGGTCTTTCTCTTAAGGACATCTATTTCTGAAGACCATTGATTTTTTTTTTCTGTCCTCATGGACTGATCAGGTGCTGCTCGGAGCAAGATCACCTCCCTCCACCAGAACAGGAGTCTTCTTCCCTATTTCCCATCTGGGCTGGAGAGGCTGTAGGTGCTTGTTCTGGTACAACCAATTTCACTTTTATTTGTCCTGACTGGATGCATTCCTGTGTGGGCTTCCCTAGGTGATTCTGCCTTGCAGGGAGGTTGGACTAGATGATCTCTGGAGGCCTCTGCCAGCCCTGAACATTCTATGATTCTGTGATTCTGTCACTGAGCTCTGGTGCCAGGATTTGCTGATGCCTGCTCAGCCCCCTGCCTGATACCTGAAGCTGATGTATATGAGGGCTGCTGAGTTGCACTTGGCCGGAAAAGACAGAAGTAAATGTTCTTCTGGAGCAATATTCTATACGTATTCAGGTGGGGTTTTGATAGCGATGAAAATCCCCTGAATGCTCAGCTCCATTTTACAAAACAGTGATCTGCAGCCTTTCAGTCTGATAACGGAATAGCAGGAGAACAGAAATATGGCACCCTGTTAGGTGCTCTCTTTGTTTGGATGCTTATTCCCCATAAACAGTAATTGTGTGTCCAAATTCCTTAAGAAGCTTTGAAAAATCTCAGCCCAGTCTTGGTCATCGTCCCTTCTTAACCTTTTCCCTTTACTATGAAGAAAAGCCTGGCTTCCCTGCAATGAGATTTTTCCGTGTCTCCCTGCTGACATAGCCTGTTTTTCTACAAAACTACCAGAGCTGTGGTGATACCAGAGGTGGGTTTGAAATAAGCAAATAATGGAGCTGGATGCTTCAGGAGAACAAGAGCGGCTTGCTACCTATTCTCCAGTCGCATGGCCATGTTGAGTATCTTCCTTGCTAAAGTCCTACTTTTTACTTTTTGTCAGTTTGGGTTTTTTTTATACTTCATTATTTTAACCAGGTAGGTGTCACACTATCTCCTGAGTGATGGTGCTAACCTTATTCCTCAGACCTTCCTTTCCAAACCAGCTGCAGTAATAATCTTTCACTCCAGAATTGCATGTGTTTTGCACGTCTGACTTCTTGCTATGAAAGAAATACTTGCAAAACAAATGTTTCTGTGTGTATGTATCAGGGGAAATATGTCTGTATCTTTCCCTGCAACCAGGTTTGCTCATTTCTGGCACTCTGTTTGCAGAGAGTCTGCCAGATTAATTTAGTGCCTCCTTTTGGAGTTGGAGTTGTGAAACCCAACACCAAATAATTATAGTACTGCCTTAGTAAACTAATTGCATTAACAACGAGCAGAATATGTACAAAGAGCAGGGTAATACTCATGCTTATGCCTTTTTTACTAAAATTTGTCATGATTATGCTTCTCATTCAGCTTAAAATTGTGATTTTTTAAAATTTTTTTTTTCCAGATTTTCCTGGTGTAGCAGCCTTCTGCACGCTGCTAACTATGTGTTGCTCTCCTTTTCAGGACCCAGGTCCTGTGCTCAATGAAGTGCCCCAGCCTGGTGCTGGCAGTGACTATCCAACCTCCTTCACTTCAATCAGCAAGTCTTCCTCTGCCTATCCCTCTACCACAATCGTCAATCCCACTATTGTCCTCTTGCAGCACAATCGAGGTAAGGAGACTTGTGTCTAGATATTTGTGGCTCAGACTGAGCAACCTGTTATGCTACAAAGAACTGGAGAATGTGTGTGCCACAGACAATTAAGTCCAGACTGCTCAGAGCTAAAAGAGCTGCCTCCAGAAAGCCGTAGCATCTGGAGCATACAGCAGGCAAGTAAGAGTTTAGAGACATGGGACAGTGCCTACTTTCTCTAATTAAAAGCTATGGAATCAGAAGCCACTGTGAGATTGGAGGAGAAGCTTATAACTGGGCTACGGACATATGAGTGAGTTATTGCAGGGTAACAGCTTATCCCCTATCAGGTGTCCTGTCATGGTGGAAAGGGGTGTGTGCTTGCATCTGTCTGTCAGCAGAAGCAAGGTAGCTTGAGGTAGGTTCTCCCTTACTGGAACAGGGGTTATGTTACATCTCAGCTACTGCAGTGTGAAAGCTGCCATATTTCCAGTTTTTGTGGGAGAGATTTGACTTCTGAATTCTCAGCATAGTTTACCCAAAAGCAAATAATCCGTTTGCCCGTAAGTTTGAACTTGGCAGTTTTTTCCTCTCTCCATAATTGGTTCAACTCAGACTCATGCTGCAGTAGTCCTTGAGCTCTGGTATGGCATACAAACAAAGCAACCTTGTTTGAGCACTCCCGTGATGGCTAATCTAAGCCTTTCTCTGCCTCACAGCAAGCTCCCTCTGACTGGATAGTTACATCTCTATATCTGGCATTGGAAGGAAACTTTGCTTCTCTTTAGTTCTCCTGATGGCTGACGTTACCTCAGCCTCCTGGTGCATCACTAAAGACTGTCACTTACAAAGCGCTAGATGCAGTCCAATTTGCCTTGATTTCCAGAGGACTTGGGAAACTCCAGGGCAGGCAGATTCCAGTCTACAATGCTATGATTTACGTTTTGTAAAGAAAAAAAAAATCAAAAAATAGAGTAAAGGCTTGTACTCTTCATATTGTAGTCATTGTAATTAAAGGTGTGCATTGATGTGCTCCTTTGCATCCCCTTATGTAGTTTTTTTCAGTGATTTTTTTAAAAACAGACTTCAGTCTTTGACCCTGAAGATAGTATCCTCACTGTAGCCCAGCTGATTATAGGGGTAATGAGTGTGTTTCCTTCTCGCCAATATCTGAAGCAATGTTGCTTCTGTGCTTCTGAATGAAGGTGTCTGCATTCCTCAACTGCTTCAAGAGGAGAAAATATTATTTTAGGCAAACTTTTTTTATCTCAAAGCCTTTTGTTTCTTTTCTTGAGGTGGGATGCTCCTTTGGTTGGTTTTCACATTAAATCTGGAGCATTTCGATGTGTACCACACAAGGATATTTTCTCTCTGTAGGTTTGAAGAGCATGATACAAATTATAGACACACACTGACTCTGAGACAACTGGTGTCAAATTGTTCTGTTTGCTAGTTACCTTCACAGTTTACAGTTTGTTCTGTCTGAATATGTCTTTCATCTGACCATTACCATTCACGCTACTGTATCCTAGTCGGTAAAGAGCCTTCTCTCATCACATTTTTATTGCCTGTGATGTAGATCATGGCCTGATAAGCCACTTGATTGAGCCTTTGAAGTATCTCATTCTAATGCATGTTTTTCAGTCTTTATTAGTCAAACTTGTAGTTTTCAAGAATCTTATTGAACTGGTTTGACAAGGCACCTCAGTCATAAGCCTGCTATCGACAGGCATTGCACGTGTCGTACTATGTATTTGTTAGGAAAACTCCATATAAGTCATTACAATATTTTTTCCTGGCATTATTGTCAACTTGACAGACAGATGTCCCAGCCGTCACACTACTGCTTTTCTAAGGTTGCCACAACATTTACCTTCTTCCTTGTCCCGTAGAGTTTTCTTTGTATTCCAAGACATACTGAGGATGAATGTTAATGGCCCAATGAGCTGCTCTCTCCATAACTGCTCTCTTTAGAGCAGAAAGCTGCTCTAAAACTCTTCAGTACGATTTATATGAACATGCTAATTTTCAAGCATCTGATCTCGATTGTTGTCAGTCAGGAGTCCTTGGTTACTGTTGAACTGGAAAGTATTTCCTCATCAGGCAGTAGGATGTCAGACTTTTTTTTTTTTTTTCAAATGCAGAATGGAAATAGTAATTGGATGTGTCATCTTTTCTACCCTCTTATTAACAATTCTGCTATGCCAGTTTGTAACAGAACAAGATCATTGCTAGGTTCTTTTTGTTCTTCATGTACTCACAACCTGTTTTTGAGTCTCTTGAGACATTCTGTTAATTCTTTTATTTCCGTTGTCATTTTCTTTCACTTCCCAGAGTATATTACCTACTCATAGGTATACTTTTTCTTTGTCTTCCAACTTTTTATGTGTTGAGGGTTTCTTACAGTTCCTTATGCTTCCATTCCTATCTGGATTTTGTCGCAGCACAGCATAGCATTTCTTTTTGCTAATTTAGGTTTTTTAATGGTTCTCAGATCTTAGTTATCTGTTACACTTCTATCCTGGCTGACATGATTTGTACTTGGTTTCATCTTTAAGGACCTTATCTACGGAAAACTGGTTTGATCTCCTAGCATATAACAAATCATTAGTAGGTTATGACCCACCTGAATCTCCTGGATGGTTAATTATGTTTTGTGCTGAAATCAATTGCTGAATGTCAAGATGAGGTTTATATAGTTTCCTCTTGGGTGCTTTGACATACCATCTGAATGAGAAATTTCAAGGTCATTTTAATGCTGACAATCTGACATCTCCAGTATTTTAGTTAGCCTTCCAGATGGATAACGTAGCTTTCTTTCTCCTCAGTGGATCATTGATTGCTTTTTAAGGAGCTGGTTATCTTATTCTTTGGAGTGACTGTTATACCAGACATCGCCTACTGTCCTATTTTGTGCTTTATCCGCTAGTTCATTATTCTGTAAGCTTGTGAGACCCTTTGATTTGGAGCTATCAGAGACTTAGAAACAGGTCATGGCATTTGAAGCACAGAAACTCTTACTTACTGAGTTGTGATGAGAGATCTAATTTCTTTTTCTACTGGCTTTCAGTAATGCCAAATGAACAAGATTTATGCTCATAAACAAGTCATTTCAGATCCTCTTGTTCCTTCCTAGCACCAAGGTAAGAATTTCTTACCATCGTATCTGTTGGTACCTGAATAATTTTCTTCTTGACATCTTTATTTTGCACTAAATATGTACTCAAATACTTGTTTCCTCTTCTCTTTTCCTTACTGCCTTCAAGTCTTAGTGTCCTCCAGCACCCTCTCCTCTGGGAACTCTGAAGGCATCTATAATCATTTCTTCACTGTTGACAGCAGATATATTCCTCTGAGTGACCCTTTCTCTGAGAAGTGTAAAAGTTTTTGGCCTTTGCTTACAGTCCCAGAATATAAGTTCAAATGTGAAAGCCTCAGTTAGTTGGTGGGTGCTTGGGGGCTGCAAGCTGGCTCTGGTCAGGCAGGAGAGAGAAATTGCAGATACCTCTTGCTCCTTCCACTTGTCTATGTCAGCAACTCTCTTTCCTGCTCAGTGACATAAGTGAAAATGAAATCTCATCTTCAGGTAAAAAGTACTTCTTTTTTTTTCATGAAAAGTGTTTTCATCCATGATATTCTGTCCCTTGTGGAAGAAGATAGGAAAGAGCTCTCAAGCATCAGCTCTTTAAACTGCCTGTTTTTGTCAGGAGACCTTAGAGATTGAACAGAGTTCTCCTCAGTGAAGGCAATGGCTGAAGCTGAGACCATCCTCACTCACATTTTTATTCGTTTCTTGTAGTACAGTAACCTACTCTTGATGATCTGCTTAGAGTCAGTCCTGCAGCAAGTTATGCCCATATACTTTTTAAATTCCAGTTGCTACCTCTTCTTTTCCCGTTGCAAGTGGGGGTTTGTTTCATACATTGGCAGCTACCGTGTGAGCATAATGCACACGAGCAGCTTGCTGTTAGTGGTGAGCAGAGCGGGAGTGCTGGGGTTAAAGAACAAAGTTCATAGGTATTGGTGAGGGAGCTGCACTTCGTGAGGAGAAATATTAGTATCCCTTGCTGAGATGATCCACTTGGTACAAATATCTAGTGAAGGTGGGTTTTGCTAGCAAGCTGTGTACGCCTGGAGGATTGATACCTACTGCAGGTTTCCTTGGTAAGTGTCCCACGCCACCCCAAAGCACAGTTGTTTCCTGGGCAGGCATAGCATGGCATGGTTTGCTGTTAATATATAACAGATGTGATTAATATATTCAATTTTTGAAATTTTTGCATTAACAATATGAGCTTTGAAGAGTGTTTGTGTTTTGGATGCCAGTAAAATAGTTTATTCTTTTTAAATGGCTTTCATGCTTTAAATGAAAGGATTAGTTGCTAGGAAGTAGAAAGAGTAGAGAAGAGAGAGCTAAGAATTCTTGGTTTTTTCCCAGCTGTGACTTGGGCAAGTCATTTGGACATCCCTTTAGAAAGCAACTGTAAACATCAATTTTAGGGTGGTCAAACACTCTGGAAGATACCACAGATGTCCCAGTCTAGGAACTCAGTAATGAAAGGCCCTAAACCAAGGAGACTGTTCTGAGAATCAAAGCCTTAGCCAAGCTGTGTCTGTGTGCACATCGGTGAATCTGTGTCTCAGTAGCGTGTGATGAGACTCAGCAAGCACCAAAGATAACTTGATCCTTTCCTATATCTCTCAGAAATCCCACAGCATTATTGTTTCAAAGTGTACTTCAGGCTAATGACGAGTTATTTGTGAAGCTGACTAAGTCTTCACTGTTTTTCAAATTGTGTTCTGTCCAACTTTTTTCATTATTTGACATTAAGAAAAAATTAAAAATTATTTTTTAAAAAATGCTCTTTGCAAATATATTGGTCACTGCATCATGAGATTTGTGTTATTCCATGAGACTGCTGTGTGGAGAAGGGACTGTGGGCTGTCACTTTTGTAGGGTGTTTGAAAACATATTCTCTCCAGCAGCAACTGATGTTCTGTCTACAGCGTTTTTCTTGCCTGTCAGAAATGCAGCACCAGAGCACTTGCTGTTTATGTCTCACCCATTTGTTCTGTATTTCTTTTTGTTTCTTCCTTCACCACAGAACAGCAAAAAAGGCTTAGTAGCCTGGCAGGTATGATGTGAAAGGTCTGCTACTACCCAACTTCTGCCTCTGCTGGAGCAAAGCTGCTGCTTTGTTAGCTTGTGGAGTACCTTTAGCAAACACACTTCCCAGGAACTGCAAAGGAATTAGTATAAATACGAGTCCCGGATTAGTTGAGGCCATTGAATGCTTGTTTTCAGTCTTTTCTCCAAATGCTACCTGTGTGACCACGTGTTAATAGACCAAAACCTTAAATTACTTGTCTCTTCCTCCCAGGTCAGGAAATTTGCTCACAGTTTGATTGTTTGCGTTGACTTTTGCTGCTGCCTGTTGAGCCTTTTGGTTTATTCCCTCGAAGCATATTCTCAAGTCTCTCTACACAGACATTGGAGTTATTCTTGCTTATGAAGAGGAAGAGAAATAGAAATAAGTATTTACATTACTCCAAGAGCAAAAGTATTTGTGCCAGATGTCAAGAAATAGATGACAAAATGTAGTGTGCAAGTATGCCCATGTGCTTGCCAGCCTTCTCTCCTGGGCAGCTCTCTGCTTTTGCAGTGGGTATGAGAATCTGTACTTGAAAGAAAAGCAAGTTGTTTTCCTGGTGGTCTTTCTCTCCTCACGCCCCAAAGAGAAGTAGCTCAGTCTGCAGTGGGTGTTATAGGAACAGTGCATTGTGCACCACTTACCCATGTTATTATTCTTTGGTTATGGCCATGGCAGGGTTAATGGAAATGCAGGAGAGAAAAGAGTTGCAGAGAATGCCTAAGTACTGTAAATATCACAAAGAGAAACACAGGAAACCCAGTACTGCCTGGGCCCAAGACCATGTCCCATGAGGGATAGCATCTGCCCATGAGGCAGCTGCTGACCTGGTCCCACTTCATCCACCAGGTTCCTTTGACTGCGACACCAGCCTGTCCCTCCTCTCTGCCATTGCCCTGCTGAGGTGACAGGCTGCATAACAGCTTACACCGGTTTCTTTCAACTCCTTCCCATAGGGTAGGTGGCATCTCATTGGACACCTCTCAGCTGCAAGTGTAAGGATTGCCTGCCAACCTTAGTACCTCTTAATACCTCAAAGCCTGATATATACTTCTGAAAACTCTTTTGAAATCATTGGAGCTGCATAAGTCAGCATGAAGTTTAGCCGTTGTTGTCCAGGTTGTAGGGTATTGTAGGAAACCTGTGGTGAAAGATGTCTGCTTTAGTTCCTTCCCCCTGCAAAGCCACCCATGCAGCAGGTGATCACCCATGAGCTTCTGGTCTAGAAACATCAGCACTGGTAGTTATAAGTAATGGAGGAGAGCCGTCACCTTTTCTACACTTTGCATCCTCTCCATATCCTCAGCCACGTCTGCAAACCAGCTTCTCTTTATCTTTAAGGTTATGGAATAATGGTCTAGTCACAGTTGCTCCTTCCATGCCCTGGGGCATGCCTTAGAGGCATAGTAAAGAGTTTAGTAATGGAAATGGACCAAAAACTTCCTGCAAAATGGAAAGACCTTTACACTAGAGACACAAAAGCACCAAAAGACAGTGCACGCACATTCACAGCGAGGGGAAAGGATCCTACACAAGGATTAATAAATTCTTTGCCCCATTTTGAGGAAGACTTAAAGTTTGATGGTAATTTCAGACTAACCACTCAAATACAAATCCATCATGTACTAATTTTCGCAGGGCATAATTGTGTTTGCTCAAGGTACCAACAGACCAATGCTTTGTTATGCACGAGCCTTTCCTCTGCTAACTGCCCCTTTCAGATTTCTGCACATTTAATGGCTTTGGGCAGTACGGTGATGTGCATGTGAACACACATATTTCTCTATCTCTCTCTTCAGTGCATGCGGTGATGTACAAAGGATAGGCCTTGGCAAAGTCTTGATGAGGCAGACTGTAAAATCACAGATGTTTCCTCTGCAGAAACTCCCACATAGAAAAAGTCCTTGTCAGAGCCTAAGGGTTGCTGTGCTATAGCTCTCCAAAGCGTAGTGGAGCTTCAGAGCAACCTGCACTCCCTTGGTTCCTTGACTGGTGGTGCCTGCTGCTACATTTGGGTGTCAGTCAGATAAGGTCAAGGAATTCCAGGTGGAAGCAAGGTGATCTGGAGCAATTAGTTGTTTCCTCCCCATCTTTATGCAGACATGTGTGCAAGAGTAGTCATATGCTTGCTTAAACAACGGTGAGATTTTTTTTGTTTACAAACTTTAGTTAGGGCACAGAGATGATCTTGAAGCATCGTGTGCTGAATCTAATGAATGGGATTGTCAGGCAGGTGAGCGCAAGCAGTTAAAAATTTAGTGCCCACTATCATATAGGATGCTCCATTAGTTGAAATCACCAGCAGAAAAAGATGTCTGGGAGATTGTATCACTGATGCTTTTTGATGAAGAATGAGATTGCAGAAACTCAGCCCCCAAACAATCCTCGACACCAAAATTTTCCATTGTCTTGTGAGACAGCTGAGACTGTCATGAGATGCGCAAAGGCTGCTACCTGAGAGATACTAGCCTGCTTTTACTGACATCAAACATTTTCTTGGTAGATTTCCTTTGATCCAGATGCTAACCACAACTAGCGGTGGCACAGTCTGTCTCATCAACTACTTGCTAGGATTTCTGCCTTAAGAGAGTGGAATGTGGTGATGCAGTGAAATATTGGAATGAGATAAAAATCATGTTGTTATTTCCAGATTCAGTGCCAGACAGACTAGTTTCTGATAAAGTTGATTCAGCACTCGTGCGGGACAAGCTGCTTCAGGAGGCAGTGCCAAGTGAGAAGAGGGCAATGGAGGAGAAGAGAAGCATTGTCAAGAGCCCTCAGCGCATGGCTGATACCTCTGTCGATGACATTGGCATTCCACTGAGGGTAAGAAAACACTGAACATGTGCTTGATGCATAAAACTTGGACCAGATTCTGCTTGCATTAGGTGTCAAGGCATTCAAGCTCCAGAGACTGCAGAGATTTAAGAGAAGATAGATTTCTAGTTCTAATGTATGTTATGAGCAATTCCATTTGCTATCAGTGACCTGTTTCTGCTGCCTCAGGGGGAAAAGAATTAAAAATTATATTTCTTCATAATATTTGAGAATACTGTTTTATTCACTTGTTCTTGCAACTAGTGTCTCTAGTGACTTGAGCACTAAATGTTTCTAACTGTCCATTGAATACTTAGGAAATCAGTACATGTGACTAAAATAGGCAAAGTGGCTACTTTCAGATGTCGAATCAGGTTAATATGCAAAACCTTCCACGTAATCTGCAGTTCTGCCCAGGTTACAACCTACTCCTGTAAAGCTTGTATGTTATTAGTAACTTAAGCCTGTAGCTTCGGTACATGTGGGATTATGTATCTGAGTGAAATCACTAATATTTCAACATATTAATTTCATATAGCCAATGGTAAAACTTTTTCATTGCTTTAAGATTCACAAGAACTTTGAAAGGCTGGTAGAATTCATGGTTGTGATTATTTATGTGTATATTTTTCCGATAGAATACAGACAGATCAAAGGACTGGTACAAGACAATGTTCAAACAGATCCACAAACTAAACAGAGGTACTGTAACACAGATGTTTTTAATTTACTTTCATGGCAGTCTTTTATAACATTTTGTTTCATTCATGTGAAGAATTGTACTGGAGGTTGTATGAAAGCATTTTAGGTTAACTGGTTTTTGCTTTGCACCACAGAACTCAACCAATGTATTTGAAATCTCTGAAGTCAAAGGTCAGGGAACAGTGAAGTCCAAAGAAAGGTCTGAGTTTTTCTGGAAGGTGAACTGCAGTGCCCTCATGAAATCAGCAGTGCTATTTGAGATCAAGAAGCTGCTAATAATTCCATACTTAGAGAAAATAAATCCCTGAACTCCCATTTTAGCAACTAACCTCCCACTCCCATTTTTAAAGGGCATTAGATCCTCACTGAAGCTACTCTCTGCGTAAGAGAAAACTTTTACACTGTAAAGCTTTAGTATGTGCGTAGCAAAGCTTGATTTGAAACTCACTGAAACCAATGGAAAGGTTTCCATTGATTTTTGGTGAGTTTAGAATCTGAAATCTGCTTTTTCAAAACCTCCAATTTTCTCGTGGCAAGCACTTGCAAACTTTGTAGTGGTGGACTCTTGGGGCATCCCCTGCTTTTGGGGCCTGCCTGCTGATACGTTCATGTTCTTTTGTCTGTGCAAGAAATGGCCACAGTAGCGTTTGCAAACTGAAACCTCCAAGCAGCCTGACACACCAGCTAATGCAGGGCAGAACTGTGCTTATGTAATAAAACACAGAGCATGTAAAACTGGAGCTGTATTTGCCACCGCAGGTGCTGTCACAATGAGCTTTATGCATAGATCGATGCTGTGTTGTGTTGGATGGAATATGCGGGAGCTGAACTGTTTCCTAATCCCAGTGCTCTTAACAGAGGCTCTTCAGCTCAGCCAGAGCCCACATTTCAGGATGATACAAAGTTCAGTCCCTTCAGCTTCCAGGATCTTTTGCAGGGCCCAGCCATGCAAGGCAACAGTGAGCAGAGAGGCATCTAGGTTGTGTCATACTAAAATATCAGCACGAGAGGAACTGCTCTGCAGTCAGCTTGTATGGATTCTTGTCTTGCCCTTCTTCCCCTTTAAATCTGTCCTCTCTGTTCTTTTTTGCAAATCATGTTCCTCTCCTTAGACACTCCTGAAGAAAACCCTTATTGCCCTACCTACATATTTCCTGAACTTCCTGAAATCCAGCAAAAAACTGAAGGTACCAGAAGTTTAGTCAGAGTATCTGTTGTCTTGTGCTTTAACTGTACTGTAGCACCCTCATAGTAACTAGATTCAGGTTCTAGATTTCCGTTGCCCATGTGTTACACCACCTGGAAATTCAGTTATGCCCGGTATTCCTCCTTGTGTGATGCATTAAATAACTAAATTTTTGCTAATCTATTAATCTTTTTTTTTAAAAAGTATGATGCTATTTACTCTAGTATTATTAAAGTAGGCAATAAAATCATTCGGTGGTAGGAAATTGGGGGATGAAGCAGAACCTCCCCTTTATTGTGGATAGTCTCAAAATGCACTGCTTTTCTCTGCTGCAGAAGACAATCCTTACTCTCCTACATACCAGTTTCCTGCGTCTACTCCTAGTCCTATCTCTGAAGGTAATAATAAAGGACCATATATCTCTTTTCTGCACAAATGCTGCCTTACCTGTTTATTTTCTTCCTGGAGTTTTTTCTAGTTGCTGAGCATTATGCTGCATCATAATGATTTGCCGCACTCTAAGCATTGCCTTGACTGTATGATGCCTTTTTGCCTTTGCAGTGCTCCTCTGGCTTTGTAACTAGTATTTTACTAATGCTACAGACTTGGAATTTGCTTGGTTTAATGCGCTTATCAGTTGTATTTAGCCATGTGCGTGCAGTGATTATTTAACATATATGACTTACATATAAAGATGTGGTTTAACCGAGATTTCTCCCACCTCCCTTCTGGATCAATACATTTCTCCACTTCTGGTTTTGATTATTAACACAGTATTAGGGCCAGACCCAAAACGCCACTGAAGTCTATGGGTAAAAAGGCTGCTTGCTTCAGTGGGTTTTGGATCAGTCCTTTAATGTAGTCTTTTAAAATAAATACAACTTGGTAACATAGTTTCAGGGCTGGCCTTAGGTGCATTTGGCTTATCTAGGCAAGGACAGAGCTCAACAGTCTCATCAGCACATCTTGCAGTTTGAAGTAACACTGTCTTTACCTTATCCTCTTCATGTGCTCAGCAGATTCCTTTAAACTTCATGTGCAGACCAGAATCCTTTGGTTCAGGGGTGGTGAAATAGCATCTGTTACCGTGATAATCTGTAACTGTGTGCGTATGCATGGAAACACATGGATATGAGAAACACCGGAATCCGCTGCACACACTGGGCACACAGACATTTCCTGACTGGGAACTTGTGGGTGAGAGCCTTGCTGGTGTGGTGCTTTGGTGGCACTTTAGATCCTACAATTTAGGAACTTGCCTAATTAGCCTGTGCCTCGAGCCAACCCTGGTGAGACTATTAATTAACCAATTCAGTCAATGTTTATATTAAACGTCTAGTGGGTACTGTGTAAGAAGAAATCGTTACAATATTGATTCTAGCTGAGATACTCGATAACAAGGTGCATGGTGCACTTCACTGTTAAAATGAATGTGGACTAATGTCACACAGGTATCTAAGGTACTTGCTTATTTTTTCATGAAAGCTGTAGGTGAAAAGTCCTGTAAATTATTTTCTGTTGGCAGGATGGTATGTGAGTATGGGTGATAGAGAAACAGAGTCTCAGTGACTAATTGATAAAAGAGTTTTACAGAGATACAATTTTCTTATTTGTACTGAAGTTTGAAAATCAATTTTGCTCTTGTCTGAACTAGCATAGTTTGCAAAACTAATAATGGTAGTATATTAAGAGCATGGTTTCCCATAAATGTCCCATATGCACTTACAAATATGCATATGATAGTAATTTGCTGGTTTAGGTAGCTGAAATCTTATCGGGCCAAACATTTTATTCTCAATATATTGGGAAGAATTTCTCTAATATTTGCTTGGATTCTTTCCTTGAGAAGGAATCTGGAATATCTGGTGATGTAGATGGGTTGGAGCGCATGTTTCATGTTTAGAAAACATTTCAGAGTTACCTACTCAGTGGCAAAGTGTCTATACAGAGATGAGTTAAGCCTCAATTTTATACAATCAGTTTCTGAGTTTTTTGCTTTGGATTGACGCATAGGATCTCATAGAAGTACCAAGATTTGGGATCTCCCCTGAAATGCCTTTTGACTCTCTAGAAATGTAGAGAATATGGCCAATGCAAGGGAAAAATGCGGATTCTCTAGGAACTACAGGAGAACAGCTTCTTCTCCCTAAAGGAATCAGATTTTGAAATTACAAACTGGTGATACCCTGCTTCATTAAGGAGGGTCCCACAGAGAGAATGCAGCTCTGAGAGCCAGGAGATCTCATTTTGGTGCTCATCTCTGATCTACTCTTTAGGTCTTTATCAACTCATTTCTAGATTTCTGTGTTTCAGTATTCCCTGCTGTGAAAAGGGAAGAAATGTATGACACTTTTCATAAGATACTTGAAGAGACAAGTCATACCTATTCTCCTTATTGTAGATATCAGAATAAAAGCAATTGGAAGATAGCTCTTATCTGAAGTGCATTTTTTTTATTATATGTCTGAATAGTGAGCTACAGTTAATATTGATATTTCTCTTCAAGTAAGTAAATAATTTTTTTCATTGATCACCAGCGCTAGATAAGACTACGAGAGGTGAATGGCTGTGAAGATAGTTTTAGACATTTGTTCATCTGTGTTTGTAGGCACCGCAAGTTTTGTATTTTACCAAATATTTTGCCATCTGAATAAACTCAACTTTTATATAGGAATGCAAGTTAATTTTGTCAACAATTCAGTGTAATAATATTAAATACATAAATATTTGGGGTTTTCTGTCATTTAGGTTTAAAATATGAGAATTCACTTGAAAATTTACCTTCACTATTTTTTTAACCTGGAGGTTATGCTAAGCATACCAGAGGCAATAACAGTCTGTTTGGAAGTTAAGTCATTTAATTCGTTCACCGAGTGAACTCAGCAGATAGGCTAAAAGTTAAGATTTCTTTGAGCTTTCCTGAAAGGCTTGATTAAGGCTTGAGTGCAATTTCAGGTCAGCTGAATTTCGGGTCAGCCAGATTGGTTTTCTGAGCAGACGAAATTGGCTGTAGCAGCTGATCAGTGTTGTTCTTGAGAGAAGATCTGGAAATTGTTTCAATCTGTTGACCAGCACCACTAAATTCACATATCAGTTTTTTCCTTTTCTCATATGTTCTTTCTTATGTAGCTTATTTTAGCTTAATCTATTTTCTATCTTTTAATCTGTCACTTTTAGTGGTTTCTTCACAGAGGTGTTATTAAGACCGTTGCTCACAGTTCTCTGCAGTTATTGCATTGTACTTCCCTGCATTTTGCCTTGGAAGTCCTGTACCTGTCTTATATCCACATCCCAGCAAGTTTGGACCCTCATCAGCAGAGAAAGATGATGGTCCTGTGGGTCTGGTTCCCATATCTGATCCCAAATCCTCCTGCTACAACCTGCAATTCATTGAAGATTCATTCCAAAGCCTGTTGAAGATGGTAGAAAGGTACCGCTAGGTTTTTGATCAAGACAAAGTCTTTCTGGCTGTTACCTATAAAGTGGGGTGTAGTGATGATGTCATCTTCCCACCTTCTTTCTGAGCACATCTGCCTTGTGCATTGCAGTCCTGTGTTGTCTTTGAATAAGGCAGTGTGTTCCCATGGCCCAAGGTAGCAGTTGTGTCCTGGGCGCATCAACACTTTTCACTGTCAGAGCGAGAACCACACCACTCAGTCAGTTACACTGGTGTCATTGCTAGCTCTGTTAGAGCTGCTTGAATATCTCTGTTGCATTCTGTAGACAGGTCTTTCCTATTTAAAAAGTAAGCTCTTCAGAAAAAGGAGAGTCTCTTGGTGCAAGTAGAAATGTGTCTTATGCCAGGAACATCATCTGCACTCTAAATAAAATCTGAGTCAGTGAACATGCTTCAACTTAGTGTGCAAGTTACTACAAGGAAGATGTCTCAGCAGTTACTGTATGTGATTGGGAACAGGACTCCTCAGCTCTGTTCCTGTGTCTAGCACCTAATTAGTTATTTTAGGCATATACTACCACTTTTAGAGCCTGTATTTATCTTTCCACTTTTGATAAAATGGATCTAATAACCCTTGCTGTAGAGGAGTTTTGTGATAAATAGTGATTGTTTTCAGAAGTGCTTTGAGAGCATGGATAAAAGTATTGGTGTAAGTAGTACATTAATGTTTATATCTAATCTACGAATTATATTTAAGTGCAATTTAAACCTCGTTGGGTTTTTCTTTTATAGGATTCTTTCCCTGGGGTAAGTATTGGGCATATCACTCAAATTATGGCCAAGATATTCGTAGAAGAAATGAAAAGGGTCTCTGGTGCTTTTTCTTCAAGGCTTTTTCAGCTTACTTGCAAAATTTTTTTGTCTTTCAGATGAGGATTCTGACTCCTACTCTCCTCGTTACTCCTATTCTGAGGACAGTAAGTAATTTCCATTTCTTGTGTAATCTGTCAAACAGAAAGGGCATGTAAAACGTGTTTATTCACTAATATTCCTATATTTGACTTATCTTACAGGCAGAACCCAGCTTTCAGTTCCCCGCTCCAAGAGTGAGGCAGACAGTATAGATTCGGAGAAGGTTGTTAAAAGGTCTGCCACTTTGCCACTGCCAAACCGTACTTCATCACTGAAAACAAGCCCCGAAAGGTGAACTAAACTACTAAGATACACTTGGATCAGTACTGGAAGAATCTCCGAAAGCTGTGAATGGGAAGGGAGCAAAGGTGGAAGCTTTAGGTTCACGATTCCAGTTAAACTTTTTGGAGGAAGTGGAGATGTAGTTTTGACTTTGACTGTTTTACTAGTCAGAAGTGAACTCCTTCATTGTCACCACCCAGTCCCCTGTTTCGGCTGTCTTCTTTTACCGGGCATCCCACAGTCAGTTGCATAGCTTACTGCCTGGGTGAGGAGTGTTTCCCTGGATGTCAGTCTATAGGGTGCCTACCACAGAGGCACAGCAGAAACTCTTGGCTCGGTGTGACACTGTAGCAAGTAGCGATAATGGTGGCAAAGCAAAATTTGCATTTATTTTGCGCCTCAGTAAAAGTTCTGTTACGTTTTCTATCTCTGAGGAGTCCCGCTCACATTAACTTTGCTGGGTGTAGGTTCTAGTTAACAGTGTCATTTCTGATCTTTCAAGATTGCTTCTGTCATGGGTTTTTGCTTTGTTTATTACTATATATTTTAAACCTCTTTGTAACAGCAATGAATGCATTTACCAAATGAGGAGAAACCAGAACAAGCAATGCATATTGCTGAATTCTCCCAGCTATTGAACTGCTCCTTCCTCACCAACTTCCACATGCTCTTAATGTTTTTCACTTGCCAATGAGCAATGCTATAATTTTGAGATTGCTAACTCAGTGAGCATCTCAGGCCACCAGTTGAGGAAACAAAGTCTGCTGGTAGGACATCTTCCTTATGCAGGAATTGAAGGCGTGGTACACTGGCCCTCTGAGAAAACTCTTGCAAGTGAAAAGATTACAATTAGTAGTGCTTCCTATTACCTAGTGACAAAACAGTGTTTCAGCAGGGAAAAGTTTCTCTGGGGTTGTAATCTTAAGTAATCAAGTTTACTCCAGACAGCAAAGATCAACCTTATTGAAATCTGCACACTGTAGGCTAGTCATTTTAGCTGTCATCTTGCCTTATGTCAAAAAAAAAACCAAAACAAAACCCCAAAACAAACAAACCAAAAAAAAAACCCACCCCAGAAACATTGATTGTCTCAGTCTCCTAAGCCAGTAGAGAGAGTTTGGACAACACAGTGGGCTGTTCGTATCCTAAAACAGGCCAGTAGTGTAAGTGGGAGGACAGCTGGAATAGCAGTTATAGTTAGATGCCTCACCTTTTTTTGGTGAATGCCAGGTGAGATAAATCCACATACAATGTTGCACATCAAAGAGAACATATCAAGAGCAAATTCAGAATTAGTTTACTAGCTTAAATGGCCTGATTTCTAGGCTTTTAGGGGCTCATTGGTTATTCTGCATGAGGTGTTTGAATATATTGCTTTGCAGAGGAGCTGGACATTGTAGGATATGGACCTTTAATGCTTTGTGACTACTGTTATCTGAACTGTGCCCGTGTGTACACTGCACAGAATTACAGTGGCTTGGGTAGTCAATGGACTGTTCTTAGCCATCTTTAGATATACTGGTCTGAGATAACTGGACCTCAGAGTGTCCTCAGAATCCAGAGCAGTAGTAGTTATTGTAAGATGTGACTAAAATGAAGAAGTTTAGCGAGAGAGATTTAATCTGAGTTCTGCTCAAAGTTTGAACATGTTCATATATGTGAGCTTAGTTGAAGCCCATCACTAAGCTATTTCCAAATAAGAAAGATAATGAAGTCTGGAAGTTTATTGAGAGTATTTGGAAGAAACCTCTCTGCTCCAATGTTTTTATCAGCTGATCTGTATCCAACTCTGCCTGCTATGGATAAACAAATATATGCCCAGAGCCCTATTTGAACTGTTCCTCTTGCACCAGGCTCCTTTCCTAGGTTAAAAAAAGTACCCTGATTAAACCACAAGTAACAGGGGAAGTCACCTGTTGAAATGAAATGCTTGCGTCCACAGAAACCACAGTGTTTTGAGCTAATTGAGCTTTCTTTCGTCAGGACTGACTGGGAACCTCCAGACAAGAAGGTGGACACCAGAAAATACCGTGCAGAGCCCAGGAGCATTTATGATTATCAACCGGGAAAGTCCTCAGTTCTGAACAACGAAAAGATGGTAATGTTTTTTTTATTCTAATTTGTGACTTTATCCTGTGATTGTAAAATACTCTCCAAGTGCTTGCCCAATCCCATTTGGATATGATTCCTTATGCTTACATTGCAGTGTTTGTATGATATATTTCCTGTATATTTTGTTTTCAAAACTAGTTTGCTTAACTTCCTAACATTTTTGTTCTCTATAAAGCAAGATCCAGGGGGACTGAGAGACTTCTTTCCTTTTGGACGTGTCATTTTCTGTGTTAAGTATGGATCACTAACCCTAGTTTTTAATCCATGTTTGACACTGTGACCTATTCAGCAGCTGTTTTGCCAGCTGTACTTTTTCTAGGGCACAGCATTAGTTGATGCAGGAGATTTGAAGGCATTATGCAATAAAGCAGACTGGCTCGGTTTCTATGTTCCTCTGATGCTTAAAATACTGAACAACTAAATTTTAGAGTGCCTGCAGTGTGTCTCAGGGGATGCCTCTGAGGTGCGTTAGGACATGGCCATCCCCCTTGGGCTGCTTTCTTCCTCAGCTGGATCTCACCACTTCTGTGGCCAAGGTGGCAGAACTGAATGTGAGCTAGCTCCCCAGCTACACCAGTGTGTAACCCGGAGTATTAAGTGAGCTGTTACCAATTTCAGTTTGAATTAGTAAGTAATGGTGTGAATTGTGACAGCTAGGGGACATATAATAGCCTCATTCCACAGGCTTGTCTGAGAACATGTGGCAGGGGCAGGACAGGAGGTGGTTCTGGTCTCATCAATTGGTCCTGCACAAATCGTCTTAGCTCATTTAAGGTGCTTTCCAGTGGTACAGGTGTACAGTGGTACAAGTTCTAGCACTGTAAGTGCTAGAAAATACTGCGTGAGGTTACTGGTGAATGACCAGTTTGATACATGAAGATATAATTGTTCTGTATAGGCATTAATTTGAAGGATTCAATTAGAAGCACTAATTGCATGCAAGATTCCAAATGTAAACTGGACTTTGTGCTTTAACAGCTTGTTCGTTGATCCATGCATGGAGTAGGTGAAGGCACACTCCTAATAAAACCTGCCAAGGATTTTAGACAAGTGTGAACAGAAATTTAAATGAATGGAAATGTAAGAATCGAGTGTGATCTGGGACCTGATGTTTCTCCTTAGTATTTTGGTGGGTTTTCTGTTTTGCTTCCAAGTCCAATCAAGGTCCATCACTTCCTGAAGATCCTGCAACCAACTTCTTTTCATGCCCATGTCCCTTCATTGACTTCGACAAAGTTGTTCCTAGTGCCTACTGAAATAGACAATGGAAGACTTTTTTTTGATCATACTGTGCATTGGCTCAGCCCAGTAGAGAAGTACCAGTACAGGGTGGCTTGAAGATGGTATGACAACTCTGTTCCTGCAGTCCATCCTGGAGCAAGAGCTCTGGTGACTTAACTGGCAATTTTGTTTCACGATAAATTAGATTAAAGAGATCAAACCAAGCCTAAACCTAGTGGCAAAAGGCCTGCTTCATCTGTGTATTTTTACCTTTGTGAAAGGTCTGTTATCACCAGGGTTGCTGTTTACATGTTCAGACTTCATGAGGTACTTAACTGAGCTATTCAGAGTCTAAAAGCCACCAGTGAGACCATCATCAGCATAATTGAGAAAAATTATACAAACCTCATCAAAGACAAGAAGACTGTGATGGTTGTGTTACTTCCAATGTTGGTTTTTGTTTGAAAAGTTGTTTTTTTTTCTTGATCACAGAAGAAAGTCAGTCTTGAAGTAATGGCATCATGGGCTCTATCAGTCTCATTAAATACAACAGTAATACAGTGTTTAGCAACTAGATCTGTCAAGGACACTGTAGGAGGTTTGTGGCTATCACCTGGTAATCACAGCCGGAGCTGTGACTATGAGAATCCCAGTCCAAAACCATTTCAGAGCAATGAAGAGACTCCTGTTGACATCAGCAGGCTTTTTTTAAAAAGGCATTTATATAACAGGATAAGTACTTTCAGTTGGAATGCAGTGAAGAAAAAAATGGAGTACCTATTGTACCTTTAAGAAAGAGCCAGATCTTCCTCCATGCCGTCAGAGATCAAACAGCATACAACCATTAATATTCCAGACCGAAGCATTGCTCCTCTTTTAGCATCAGTCCTGAATTCTTGTCCTAGAACTTTTTTTGTGATGTCTAATAGCTGTGGAAGAGTCTGGGACATCTAGCAAAGCCCAGCACTGCTGGGAGTTCCGCTACTTCAGTAACCACATGACAGGATGATTTGCGTCGGCACACCCCATATGTATGTGTGTGGCTCATCACTTGGTGTGATGCAGTACTTGGGATCACACTGGCATATCAAACATAGTGTATTTATATTTTTAATATACTGAGATCCATTATGCCTAAGACTAGATACACTGAAATGCAAGAGTTGGCTAGATGCCTTTTGAGGAGTGGCACCTCATAACCCTCAGCAACAGACTCATCTCTTATCTCACCAGGTGGTTTTTTTTTAATAGCTACAACTATTGAAACAGATTGTATGAACAGAATGGAATTTCCTTTTCAGCTGTACTGTTTTCTGTCCTGTCTGATTTTCCTTCATTGTAGTTTTGTCTGATTCTCTAACATTTATTTGTGATTAAATGAGTAATATTGTCTCTCTCTCCATCCCTTCAGAGATCTTTCAGGGATGTGCTCTCTCTGACTTGTGTCTCCTTTGATTTAGAAAACCACCTTTCACTCTGTTTGCAGTGTATAGAACAGGGTTTCTCACATATTCATGTTCTGTTAAAGATGCAGTATTTGATCCAGGTCTCACTGAATATCTCCTTTTCTAACCAAAATAATTAAAAAAAATAATTAAGTATATGCAGCTTCAGACTTGATCAAAGTGTCTGACAAGTAGGACTGAGGGACTGGTTGACTCCCAGCTCTTCTATCGAATCTTCCTGTGCCTCTGGGCAAGCTGCATAATCCCTCTCTGTGTGGGTTTTCTGATCTGTAAAATGCAATTCATTCATATTCATGTTACTCACAATGATGCCATTAGGCTTAACTGATGTTTGCAAAGCAGTTCGTGGCCTTTGTGAAAGAGACGTGCAATAGAAATTCCAAATTATATCTACGTTTCAGAATGGAAGCCATGGGATCTGCATCTCTAACAGTCCGTTTCCGTGTATTCTTTGCATAATGTTATCCTTCTCTTTCTTCCATTCCCCTATCACCAACTCCTTTAGACTCGGGATATAAGCCCAGAAGAGATAGATTTAAAGAATGAACCTTGGTATAAATTCTTTTCGGAATTGGAGTTTGGGAAACCGGTAAGTTTGATAGTTTGATGACCAATGAAGTCAACCTACCTTTTTCTTTTTTTTTTTCTTTTTTCTTAAAAAAAAAAAAAGATTGTCATATTTCCTTGCTAGGCCCTAAATGTGGAACAGCTGCCTCATTTAAAAATGTGATTGCTTATAACATCATCCTGATACTGATGTAAAGCAGCTGTTTTTTGGCCACTTTAAGTGTTTTGAAGCCATTTACAAACATTCCCCACCTTCCAACCACATGTATCAACAAGGCAGTATTTTTTCACACAGCATCATTCAAACTGTACTTTTGTCATTAGTGTTAGAAGTAAAGCCCTGTTCTCATTATTGAAAGTTCTTATTTAAAACCCTTGTTTTCCCTCTGCTCAACAAGACCTAGGGTGGCTGATAGGTAGCTTTTAGACAAGTTTGTGGTCTTGCCTTGTAAACTGTAGGCCACTAATTTCCAGCTATCCATAAACAGATCATGACCTTGTTTCCTGCTCATTTCCTTGTGCTTGTGGTTGTCCCTTGCCTAAATGAGGTGCATCAGTCTGTTGAACAGCCCTTACCATTCGCTGAAACCAAAGGAATCTGAGAACAGCGTGCTTTCTTTTTAAATGGAGCTGTGTTACTGTGTGTGCGAGAAAGAAGGGGGGAAAAAAAAAAAGCCTTGACTTCCCACTCTGCAAAAAGATGAAGCAAAGCTTAATTATTCAGTAGGACAAAGGACATTTTGGTTGAGTGAAAGCATCGGTTGTCATGACTACTGCAAAAACAAGTGACTTTAAAGCATTGTATGGCCTATTTTTTAGTGATTAAACACTATTAATTTTATTATTAAATACTGTTTAATAAGCTACTCTTACTGTACCAGAGGGCCATATCAGCCTTTGCCACTTGAATAGTGTTTAATCAGTATAGTGGTTATTTTTCCTTTCTCCTTGAGGTCAGTTGTCAAATGCCTGTGCACACCATTTTTGAGTGCTGCTGAGATTTCACGTACAACAGATTAGAAATACATTTCAAGGTTCAGTACTGGCTTCAAAGACAACTGCCCACAGACACCAGAGAGCATGTTTTCTTTGAATCTTGTCTTTGTTCTCACAGAAGTGACAAAATTCCTCTGCATGGAATGTAGCTGCCTGAGGTTGGCTGCCCAGTCTGATCACATCATACAAATAGTGTCATTACTGCTGAAAACCAAGTATCTGCAGTGCCTGAGCAGATCCTTCTGTCACAGAAAACGATGTTTTATAGCTGTGGACCTTCCATCCTAAGTTAAAGAAGGAGTGTTGAGATGAGACCCCTAAATTTTAGGCAGTAAAGATCAGGTAAATCCCACCTCACTGAGGCTTCCAAGTTGTCAGTATAAGGATTTAACCCTTTACCAGTTGTCATGGTTTAAGATTTCTGTACAGTGAGAAGAAACATGCTTTTCTTTGCTGCCATGTAATTAATAGCCATATGCTTTTGAAATGAATGAAGGTTTGTCATCGCTATGATCCTTCGGGTTAGTGTAAGTTAGTGGAAAAATGTGTCAGTGAAAGGAGAATGTTTATGCCCTTGGGCCTTTCTAGAAGTGAGGCTATATCTGTTCCTTAGAAATGTGCATTTGTGCTTTCAGTCATGCAGTCTTGGCCTTACTTCAGATGAGGGCATCTCAGGCTACACCAGCGACCCATCTCTTGTTTGGCAGAGCATCTGTTCTGGTGACAAGTTCCCTGCCTTGCCCAGGGCACAATTGTTAAGGGCTACTTTCTTACAGCTTCCCTTGAAATGATAACTCATTTCAACTTGCTCTAGCTCCAAAGTGATGCAGCCATGCTCCCTGATCAACTATGTCAGCCCCTGAGCCTGTTACTCTGCACATAGTGCTTTGGCATCAGGCACTTGAATTGAGGATGCCATCTCGGACCTTTATAGCTAGCAAAGCTCCCTCTGAGCTTCCTTACCATACCCAAAAGCGCATGCTTTTTGTAGCGTTGCTCACTCCAGTTGTGAGAGGACCAGATTTTTGTGACCAGCTAGTGGCTAAACCTCATGCCTAACCAGAAAGTTTCAGCTGGTGTTTGCTAGCACCCGGGATTTTTGAAGATTCTCTATTTGTCCAAGTTTTTTTTTCCCAGTGCTGGAGGTAATGTATACTTCTACAGGCATAACTTGCCCTGGCTTTCTGGCTTTATTTGCAGCTATGCAATGTGGGCAGGAAACACCCTTGGTAAAAGGGAACATTGTGAGCTTGTGGGTGCTGCTCTCCAAAGACAGCAGAATGACCAGGATGGGGCTGTCCCCATTGAGGAAAGCACATGCACTTCCTAGGGCAGCTGAAGCAACAGTTTGCTGGACCAGCATCCCAGATGCATTTCTGGGCAGCTCTGTGGCCAGGCACCTGCTTTGCAGACAGGTAGATCAGTCTCTGCGGCATGGATGTTTTTTCAGTGTGCTGCTGAGATTGAATCCACACATGTTTCTGTCTTCCTTTGTCTGCAGCTCCATGGATCCCATCCACAAGAGTTGACATTTTGTCAGTCTAGAGCTTGGTTGTTTCCCGCTGTGACTGTGGGATCACACGCATGGGCACTTTCTCCCGGCCCTTACCGAGACAGCATTGAGTAAGCTCTTTGCTATAAATGGAGGAGCAGCAGGCTGGAAAAAGGGGTGCATGTCCTGCCTTCTCACCTCCTTCACTCCAGTTCTTCCTTCCAAATTTCAAGCCTAAATCTTTGCAACACTGTCTAGCCCTCTGCTGCTGCTGACCTGATGGATAAGAAATGGGTATTTACTGTTCGCATCCACACAGTGGCTGTCCAAATGTAAGGTGGGACAGATTCAAACTACAGATCCAGACAGTCTAGAAAGGAGTTCGGACCAAGACCCAAGTGTTGTAGCTCAGTCTCGCCTTTGATAGACTGACACTCAGAAATTCCCTGTCAGTGACTTGGAGGCCCTTAATAATGGAGTCACAGAGGTCAGTACAGACACGTAGGGTAATGCTAAGCTTGCCAGCCAATAGAGGTTTTTTTTGTTTGGAAACAGAGCAAATGTATTCTGATTCGACAAAGTAAGAACAAAGTCTCTTTGAGCATATCGATAAGAGGCACATACCTGATGAAATGAGAGTATTAGTATGGCATTAGACACACAGAGGAGTGTCAGGACAAAGGTCTTTCACTTTGAATAATCTTCCCTGATATTTACATGTGCATCCAAACAGGAAAATCTTATTTTGAAATCGATGCCTTCATCTATAGGGTGAATTTTAAGTAACTAGTTCCCAAACGTCCATTTGTCACATTTTCTCCACCAAAACCCCCCACAAACAAACCCCCCAAACAATGAAACAAAAAATAACAACTCTGCATTCTCATTGCCCCACAATGCCACCACTGGAAATTCAGCCATTTGGTCACATGGTATGTATTCGTAGTCTGGCGGGGGCGGGAAAGATTTTTCCCTTTTATTTATCAAAGGCCCTTGTTTTACCCTTTCCTTGTGAGAAGAAGAATGAGCAAGACAAATGCTTTTTATGACTGTGTGTTTTTTTCCTCATTTTGTTGTGTTTTATTTTTGTGTTAAGAATGCTTTAACCACCAGCTGTGGGCTCCCTCTAGAGAGTCCAAAATCCCTTAGACCAACTTACAAAAATAAAAATTTTCTCAAACACTACTGAAAACAGCCCCTCTCAGACTGCATGTATGTTCCCTTTTGCGTCCCACGATCTCTTGATATTTGTGCTACAGCGGATTTATCCCGCTTTCTATCTCTCTCTGTTGTGTTTTGGTTTTGTTTTTTAAATTTCTTTTTCAGTGTTGATGCAAATCCCCTATTGTACTCCCACTCTGTTCTAATCCGGTTTCCATATTCTCTGTGATGTCTTTCCTTATCTTCATTTCCTCATTTCCTTCCTCTGCTTTCCATCAGCCTCCAAAAAAGATTTGGGATTATACTCCTGGAGATTGCTCTATCCTTACTAGAGAGGATAGAAAGGTAATTGTGTCTCACGTACATTGTACTACAGCATCTAGCGTGTGTGTATGTGATTTTCTTTTTTTTTCCTAGCAATGCTTGGGTTTTGTGTGCTTGTGAGTGTTTTTTTTCTTTAATTGGGCTTGAGCTCATTAGCCTAACAATGATGTAGCCAGTAAATTTATTTAATAAACAATTCTTAAAGCATAATCAGCCATAATCTAGAGTGGTGGGTTTGCTATCTTGACGTGCAATGATAATTATACTAACAGCATATTGCAAATTGTTACAGTATCTTTTTTTTTTCTTACAGGTGGGTTTTATAACTATGTGGTTTGTAGAATTAGATTCTCGCAGGCCTGTGCATCTCTTAATATTGAATGTTAAATGCCTAAAACTGTTGCTTCTATAATGATTGAAACATGATTAATTACTAGTGAATTTCTGTGTATTGTCCTTATCACCTTTGTCTTTTTTTTCGATTAAAAAGGCTTGTGGTTTGGTTTTTTTTTCAAAATTAACATTCCTTTGGTTTCCCCTAACCCTAAGCATTATTTTCCCATTCTTCTTCTCCTTCTTTAACCAGACTGATCTAGAAAAAGATCTCTACCTCTACCAGACTGAGTTAGAGGCAGATTTAGAAAAAATGGAGAAGCTTTATAAAGCGCCACATAAAAAGCCACAGAAGGTATTTCCTATTCTTTTCATGCTGCCAATCCCTATTTTCAAACTCTCTGCTCTAATCTGTTCACTGCTGGATGATTATTAAATGAGGTTGGGATAAATAATGGTTCTGACCATTCTGACTGCATGGCTTGCTCTGTCACTGTCAGAAATAATAGAACGTGATGCTGAGAATCCGGCTTGAAATCCATTTCAGATACAGTGATTTCCTGTCTCCCCTGTTCCCTTTCAGCTGCCCCCAGCCCCTGTCCCCCTTTTAAGGGGTTTTGAGTGCAGTGTCTGCAAAAAAAAACCTAACCCCCCCCC